TCAGAGGCAGTGCAATTGGCACAGGACAGAGCAGAGTTTAGGGCTGTTGTACATAGGGTCGCTATGAGTCACAGGAAACTCGACGGCACAGAACAACAAGAAGTTCATAGAGTTTCCACAGGCATGTTTATGAAGTGGATGCCACTCCTGCTTCCAAGCCTCGACAGCACATAACAACATACTTGGAGCAGGAGGCAGTCGTCAGAGTAGAGCAAGGAAATACTGCATGACTCAAATTTGGGAAGGGTGTACACCAGGGATGTGTCCTAGCTCCATACGTTTTCAAGCTATATCCAGAATGGATTATCTGGGAGGCTGGGCTCTATGAGGAGAAGTGTGGCATCGGGATTGGAGGAAGATTCATCAACAATTTGCATTATGCAGACGACACAATCCTGCTTGCTGAAACTGAGGAGGACCTGAAGCGCTTGCTGCAGAAGGTCAAGGACTGCAGCCTCCAGTATGGATTGCATCTCAATATCAAGAAGACAAAGGTTCTTAACACTGGACCAATAAGTAGACTCACATTAGATGGAGAGGAGATTGAAACTGTCAACAGTTTCATGTTGCTTGGATCTACAATTAAAAACCTTGGTACAAGCAGTCAAGAAATAAGGAGATGCATTGCACTAGGAAAATCTGCCATTAGGGACCTTTTCAAATTATTGAGGAGTAGTGATGTCAGTTTGAGGACTAAGGTGCATCTGATTCAGGCCATGGTCTTGCTGATTACTAGCTATGCATTGGAGACCTCGACATTGAATAAGGATGACAGAAAAAAAATTGATGCCTTTGAGCTGTGGTGTTGGAGAACACTGAATCTTCCATGGATGGCCAAGATAATGAATAGATATGTCTTGGAGAGGGTGCATCCAGAGTGCTCTTTGGAGTAAAGAATGATGAGGCTTCACCTCACATAATTTGGACGTATTGCTAAAAGGTGCTAGTCCTTGGAGAAGGACATGATGCTGGGAAGGGTGGAGGGTCAGCAAAGGAGACGAAGACCTTCAACAAGGTGGATTGACATGGTGACTGCTGCAGTGGGCTCTTGTGTGTCAGGAAGTATGAGGATGGCACAGGACAGAACTGGTTTCAAATCTATTGATCTATGCACATCAAAAAAATTCTCCAACATGGTAAAAAGGAAAATCAGAGACTGGGGAAAAAATATTTGGTCAGGACATGTTTGATAAGGGACTTACATATAGAATTTATAAACTACTCTTGCCCCTCAACAAGATAAACAACCCAAAAGCAAAATGGGCACAGGATATGAACTGACACTTTACCAAAGAAGACATTCAGATGGTAAGCAAACACATGAAGAAATGTTCAAAATCTCTAGCTCCAAGAGAGATGCAGAACAAAACAACTAAGAGATATCATCTTACCCCAGTAACAATAGCAACGTTCAACAGAGGCACAAACAACAAATGCTGGCGAGGCTGTGGGAAAATTGGAACCCTTATTCACTGTTGGTGTGAGTGTAAAATGGTGCAACCACTATGGAAGTATGGCCCTTTCTGAAAAAGTTGGATATAGAAATACCATTTGACCCAGCAATTCCACTCCTGGGAATATACCCTAAAGAAACCAGAACTGCCACCTGAACAAACATATGCACACCTGTGTTTATTGCTGTATTGTTCACAATAGCAAAGAGATGGAAGCAATTCAAGTGCCCATAAACAAATAAATGGATAGAGCAGCTCTGGCATAGTCACACAACGGAATACTACGCAGCATGGAGAAACAAGGAACTCATAAAACATTACACAAAAATGGGTGACTTTTAAAAAAAAATGGGTGACCTCGAAGGACATTATGCAGAGTGAAATATCCGTCACAAAAGGACAACCATTGCATAATGTCACTGTCATAAAACATGAATAACATGGGGGTTTGGTGGTAACCAAAAAAAAAAGGAGATAAATAATGAATACTGCATTGAAATAGATGAGAGAAAGAACTGTTTAAAAGGAATACACGATTAGGTATTATTTGCATGACAAGAGTTCAGAATAAGAGGTACAAAGCACAGTGGACTGGGAGACTGGGGGAAGGTTGAAATTGTTCAACAATGAAATAATCTTTTTTTGTTAAAGCCTCTTCTCTATTTATTGTGATGCTGTTTATTGGTCCAGTCATGGACCAATTACATACTGTCACTACATTCAGTTACTACATACTGAATGCTGTAGTATTTTTTTCTTGGAATATCTTTTATTAATATTTGTTATTATTGTTATTATATGAAAATTTACAGACTTTGGAACAAAGTCTTTGAAAATCCTCTGGAGAGTCAGCTATTTCTTACAGCCTTTATTGATTATGATAATTGCACTGTAATTTAGGAGACAGATTATATTCAAATTATTTTATGTTCTTAAAATCCTTTAATTTTAAAGCAGAAATGGGGCAAGAAGATACAAAAACAATGGCAAAACACTGTTCATTTTAAAACCTAGATTTCCCGGTTGATATATGTTGTTACGCGCTATCGAGTCAGCCATGGCTCTTCTGCACAATTCAAAAGATGGCCCAATTCTATGTCATTACAATCTCAAACATGTTTAATCCCATTGTTACAGTCATTGTTGTCAATCCCTCTTGCTGAGGGTCTTCAGCTGACTCTCCCTGTTTCCTTTTCTAAGGACTGGTTCTTCCTGACAACATGCCCAAAGTATGTGAGACAGTTTGATATATATTTGATACATAAAATACGCATTCTATTCACATACATCTTACACAATGTGTATTTTATACAAGAAAGTCTGTTCGAGGAAAAACTTTGCAGTTTTATATAATAAAAATTTTTCTAATTTATAAAGAGATCCTGAAAGCTCTAACACAAGTAACCAAATGTACTGAGTAGATGTGTAGTGTGAGAACCTGTTCTAACTCAAAGCTGTGGAGCTGCAGCTGGGAAATGGCTGCAAAAAGGGCCACCTGTCCCATCCCAATCTCTGGGCTGCTTAGAGACTAGGAAAGGAGCATGCTTTTCAAGGAATTAGACACATCCTCGAGGATACATTATAGGAAGAGACCCTGCCTTCCTGGCCTGAACTTCCACTTGATTTCCATAAACACGAAAATCAAAGTTCGGTGGAGTTATTTACAGCACAGTGCCTATAGAGATGCAATTTCATTAAGACATGAGAAAGGAAACAGAAGCTCTCAGACACACCTACAAGCCAATGGGAAAGGAGAGGACAGATGTAGGACCAAGACAGATGGAAAGGGCTGTTTTATCATTAAAGAAGCTGTAGGGGCTCAAAGTCTGAAACTTTATCATGATTACATAGCACTGAGAGGTGCAAGTGCATACGGGAGAGTGAAACAAACTTTGTTGTCCTGAGAGAGCTAACACAATGTATTGGACTATTTTCAGATTAAAAAGTAAATGCAAACCTTGTTATAATAGAATTTATTGACAGCTGAAGCAAAGGAGTCCTCTATATATATTGTTTCTAAGATTATCAGGTGCCACAGTTTGTGATCAGTTGCTAAACTTAAACTTGGCGACTGCGACAATGGCTCCACCAAAGGCCCAGTGAGCCCCCTCTATAAAGAGCATAGCCAAAAACAAAAACAGTTTCATAGAGCCTACAGATCAGCTTCACTTTAAGAGTCACATCAAATAGGAATCCACTTGATAGCAACAGGTATTAGACTGTAATAAAAGCAAACTCCCAAATTTTGTACCATGTGAAATGGCAGAAATTCAGAGAGGAATTGAATGATGCAGTTTGCACATGATGGGACCCACCAGGTAATTTTTCTTCTCATGTCAAACTGTAGAGAACACTAAGTGAATGACATCTTTTGCCTTTCACCTTTTTCCCTCCTTTAGCTGCTAATGCTTCACATAATGTTCTCCCATCACACTGGTTTCCAGAACTCTGCAAATAGTGCATGTTCAGGGGTGGTATCAATACAGAAAACACTGCCAAGCAATTTGAGCCAGGAGCCCACAACACCAGGCCTCCACTTGTCTGTCCTTCTAACAAAGACAGATACACACTCTCATCATGGACCCATTTTTAAAAAATTTTATTTTATTAATTTACATGAACATTTACAAAGATTTTGGATTTCCATTCATTCACCGTTGCACTTTTCTCCCTGATGACCCTTTTTTTTTCCTTTTATTGGGAAAAACATATTGGGGGTACAAGGAGGTGAGGGTTGGGGGCAGAAGGGTGAGGATGGGCCAGAATGCAGTTGCAGAGCTGCACAGTTTGGTCAGTGGGGGGAGCAGGTGAAGGAAATGATGAGGGTCCAGTGGGGACCAGATGCTACAGAGGAATGACAAGCATTTTCCAATGGT